GCGTGTCGGTATGAACCGTTCTGACTCTGAATGGCCGCTTTGATTCAGCATCGTCCGTCTTTCGCTTCGTGTTGAACTTGGTTATCTTGAGTGGTGCGAGGGTTCCCGTGGGAATACCTCGCCGCTTCTCTTCCTGACGCTTCTTCTCAATATCCCTTTTCACCCTCTTTCGCTCCAGTCGCTCGATCCTTTTTTCCATTCGCTCCCTCTTCTTTGTAGCCTCAATCGCCCGTTTTTGCTTTAACTCTGCTGCAGCCTGTAGATTTCTAGCAAGAGCTTCTTTAGCCTGCTCAGCCCTCGCAAGGTGATCTGCAAGCTGCTCTGGTGTTACATACAGGGCTGCAAATCGCTGGTCTTCAAGCTCGAGGCGCTCTGCCGCACTCAGGGCTTCTTCCTCGATCTTGAGTTTTTCGGCTTCGCGGTGCACGGCATCGAGCTCCGCCTGCAACTTGCCCGCATCGGAATCAGGGCTCAGGAAAAGCTTGACGCGCTCGCGTTCCTCACCATGGATCTGCAAGATTGATTCCCGGTCTGCTGCAGTGGCTGGGTCGTCGTCAATCCACCACCGCTTATCAGCTCGTGGTCGCAGTTCCCGGTGCAGATCACCGACAAGATACAGGCTACCTGTCACGACTATAGGCGCCCAGATGGCCATCTGATTCGACAAGTACTTCGCGGTACAGACAGCCCGCAGCGCTCCAACCTCTGGGACGTACATCCCAGTGATTCCTGGTACAGCCTTCTTGGCAATTTCAAGCAACTCAATGGGATCCATCGGCTTGACCCAAGGCATGCCAGCGACAGGCCCGAAAGTGGTAGTGACGACATTATCTCCTGGCCTTAGCAAGGTGGTAAGAAACTGCTTTGCGTCTTTGCCCTCGGTCATTGCTAAAACCCAAGTAACAGGCCACCCGGACTCAGGGCGTCCTCTGGTGGGCGATTCACCTAGCCGGAGTTTTTCCTGGACGACACAGTCGAGAGCTACAGCAGCATCTGGATTGTGGGCGCCGTCGACGAGAACGTGGTTTTTTCTTTCCCCTGCATTCCTGAAAACTGGTGTCAAGTGGAGCATCTCTTGCCGCCCCGGCATTTGTGTCTTCGCGTTCAGCAACAAAATCTTTGCAATATCCCTCGGCTTCACGGGATCTACGCCACGTGCTGGCTGGTCTTTCTCTCCCGTAACCTTCGGCTTCTTTTCCCCATCCAGCTCTTTTAACGCCTGCATAGTTGCAAGTACAGCAACCTGGAGGTTTTCTATCTGGAACGGCATCAACCTATCGGCGACACGTTGCCATCGCGCGAGTTCAGACAGTTTCTGCATCTCGGGGCTTGTGAAAGAAAGGCATTCTCCTGCTCCTATTTCGTGAGCGTAGTCTTTTATGACGGTCTGAACAGCGATCTCATTGGTACGACTGATGACATAAGGAACGCCGGGCCTCAGAATTCCAGCCTTGTGACTCGCAATCTCGGACAGTGTGTTTCCAAGGAAACCTTGATGATCGCGAGCGATCTTGGAAATGACGGACACAGCTTGGTTGTTGAGGATGTTGGTACAGTCGAGCCTGCCACCCATGCCGACTTCGACAACGCCAATCTTGACTTTTCTATCATTGAATATAGTGAACGCTGTCGCAGTCAGAATCTCAAACGGAGAGGCGCCAATGTTTCCCCTCTCGTTGACTGTCTGGTAATGTCTCTCGACTATGTTGAATTTTGCTTCCGTTATGCGCTTGCCATCGATGGTGATGCAGTCCCATCTATAGAGTTAGAGACATTCACATGCACAGAAAGAGGCACACACCTATCAACGAGATGCGGAGAGGTAAATTTGCCGACACTGACAGTTTTGCCTACCAGCATGGACGAGGCATAGTGGCAAATTGAGCCTTTGCCATTGGTGCCTGCAACGTGAATGGACCTCCACGGGAACTCGACGCCTCTCAGCAGGGCGGCAATGCGTTCCAGTCCAGGCTGAATCCTAGCCATGGCGGCGGTTTAGGTTGCCATGCGCAACAGCAGCGTTGATGGGACTTGGTGTTCGTCGACAGTCGAGGCATGACTGCGATTCATTTGGATGGACGGAAAGAAAGAAAGCGCTAGCCGAATCAAGCAAGGCTTGGCGTTCTGCGTCCAGAAAAAGAAAGGCCTCCAGACAGAGACAGTGTCCAGGTGCAGGTGCAGATCCTGGAGGGCGTGAGGGCATGTCAAGTGTCATCAGCCACTGCAGCGGGGCATCAACACAACGGCAGCTGCCTGGCTCTCCTGTGCAGTTCACAGCTGTCAGTGTTTTGTTGTACCTGGTTTCCGCCGTTTGCTGGTGTCCTGACAGTCCTAGGCCCGCATGAGCGTGCATAAGCCAGGCTCACTCAAATCTGGGCACTAGGCTAGCGCGTCAGGAACGCTCCACCACGGCTACCGCTCCTTGCTCCCCATCACGACCGCACCTCCCCTCCAGGGCTCGCAGTGCCGCCCGCCTCTCTCGCCACCGCCGCTCTCCACTCACCAATCCGCTCGCTTGCGCAGGCGAACCGTCGCGATGGGCATCCCGGTCGGCTGGAACATTGTGCGCGACGAGGCCAAGGAGAAGGACGTGCTGCGCGCCGACGTAATCGGTTCACGATCGCCCATCCGACGGCGCGCGCGAAGCAGCAGGCCCCCGAGGCAGATGCAGAGGCAGCTGAGCGCCTTCAGCCGCCTTGGGTACGGTGACGCTGCAAGCCTTCCCTCTCCCCGCCTCTCACATCCACCGCTCGCCCCGCCCGTGCCTGAGCTGCGCGCGCACGACCTGGAGCGAGCCCGAGCCCGAGACCTGGACCTCGACCTGGACCTGGACCGCGAGGACCCGCCGCGCCTGTCCAGCAGCGGCAGTGGAAACGGAAATGACAATGCCCATGCCCGCGAGGCAGCCGACGAACCCTCTCCGCCCGCCCGGACGCCCGGCTTTGCGCCTGCAGAAAGATTCCGCGAGATCTTTGGACGCCTCGCTGACGACGGCTCTCGAGGCTCACCACCACCAGTCCCTGGGTGGGTTTTTGACTCACCACCCAGGCTTCGAGACTCGCCACCTAGGCCTGCGAGCGGACGCCGCATAGAACTCGACGGCCCCGCCGAGGCCGCGCCTCTCCTTCCCACACTCACCTCCACCGGGCCCTCTCGCCGCCCGTCGACTTACCGGCCGCCGCAGTCGCAGCCGCAGTACTACATAGAGAACGACGAGGACGACGACGACGAGGACGACGACGCTCCCCACGCCACCAACGCAGTCTCTCACCCGCCCCTCCGCCGCGTGGGCCACCGCAGGATTGCCAACGGGCCGTTGCCTTCCTCGTCACTCCGCGAGTCGTGGTCCCCCGTCTCGCCTGTTGACGGCCTGGGCGACCGCGAGCGCAGCAACAGCGTGTCCAGCACGTCCTCGACGAACCTTCCCTGGCAGACGTTCCTCCACACAGTCGTCCCCGACCCCGTCCCTCCCACCGCCGAGTCGTCCTTTGCGTCCTCCGCCGCCAGCGCCTCCTTCGCCGCTTCCAGCAGCAGAGCAAGCAGCAGCAACTCCAACTCAGCCGCGAGCTTGCTCACCCACGTCACCGTCCCCTCGCGGCGGCCCAGTGCCGGCGCTGTGCGCAGGCGTGGTGAGGAGCTAAGCGGGACGCTTGCGCGTGCCTGCGAATCCTCAGACGAAGGCGACTCAACCGCATCCGACACCGACGAGGAAGCTGCCACCAACACGCTCTCGCGGAGGAGGATGCGCCCCAGCTACTTCGCCGACGAGCCCCCGAGTCCCAGGCGATACGGCAGGAGCGTCATGGAGCAGGGCCTCGACGCGCGACGCTATATCCGGAGTTACTACTCCCACGAGCGAACCCCCGACCCTTTCTCGACGCTGTGGCAGACAGACGGCCCGCCGCGGAGCCCTGAGCCCCAGGGAGAAGAAGGGCCCAGGCAGGAAGCCGACAGCTTCGCGACGACGGTCGTCGACGACGACGCGCCGCCGAGCACCGCAGGGCTGGCTTCGCCGCTGGACCAGGAGCTGCGCGACGCGCGCAACATCCTCGAGCGGCTCGCCCGGCGCGGCGACGTGGGCGACGACTTCTGGGCCAGCGTCGGCCTGACGCGCAGTTTCGCTGACGGCGTCGAGCGCGTGCAGGAGCGCGGCCGCTTTTAGGGGTGCGCGGACTCGCGCGACCATGTGAAAAGAGGGGGAGGGGCTTACTATGTGAGCGACAGGTGCGCGGGCCGGGCTTGTTGCGTGTCTTTCTTTGCTGCGGCGGCGATTGCCTTTCTCGAGCGAGCTGCTGTTGCTGTTGCTGTTGCTGCTGTATTTGAGCGTTATGGACGGGCGTTATTTCTCACGGACTCGACGGCTCACACCCACACTTCCCACGAAGGGTGTGTGGCGTATGACCGTCTACGAAAAAAAAATCACTGGAAAAGAAGATATGGATACGATATACGAACGAACGAACAGAAACTTTGGGGCCTTCGGCGGCAGGCATGCGGTGTGGGATCTCCAGCCCAGATGAATGAACGGGATGGATAGGGTCAAGTAACGTAGGAAAGGCAGGATCGGACGGTAATGCGATGCGATGCGACGTGTTACATCTCAGGGACTGGGAGAACAGTCGGTCGATCAAGTAGTCAAGCAGGTAGTCAATCAATCAATCAAAGCAAAGCCCACACAGAACAGCGTGCGTAACCTGCCCTTTCCGAACAGCCTTTCCAGCCACACACTCGTCCAAGACACGCGGCGCAACACACACGGAAAGGCAAATCCTCATACCTGAATCACGCATGCGTTTCCGCTGCGCCCCCGCCGCGTCGTCGCGCCTTCCTCCCTCTCTCTTGCCAAAAGCCAAAAAAGGGGGAAACCACCACTCACCACACACTCTCTCTCTCACCCCCACTCTCCCCCTCGCCAGCCAAACTCCCCAAAAACATCCCAAAGACTCAATCAAGATACGAAGATGCCCCCCCCAAAAAAATCCAAACAAAAAAAAGATAAGCATCTCCGGCGGGGCTCGAACCCGCAGCCTTTGGATTGCCACAGATCACTTCTCGCTCGTGAGCGAGGTGACGGGGGAAGGTAGAAGTCCAACGCGCTACCATTGCGCCACGGAGACCGAGGAGGTTCGGATTGTGAGAACTTCTGGGAGGTTTTGGAGATTAGACTGATTATATCGTAGACGCAATATGGATGGGGGTGGGAGTATGGAGGATCTGGTTGGCGAAGGAGTGGGGTGGCGTGGGGCGGGGCGGGGCGGGGCGAGGCGAGGCGAGGCGTGACCAAGGGTGTGTGGGGCTGTGCGTGCACGTGTATCTATGTACATACTGTGTAATACAGGGAGGGGCTGGGTGCGGTGCGTTACTCATCTGTATAAGAGGTTGTGAGAGAAAAGGGATAAAAATAAGAAAAAGGAGTGGAGATGTCATTCATTCACGGGATAGAAATCAGGATATCGTAGTCTGGTATGCGCCGTACGCAACGACCTTGATTTGATTGCGCCTATCTACGGAGCATTCGCAACGCCGCGGATGTTGATCCCCCCTGCCCCAGCACCGTTGCCCTGCCCGCGGATGTTGATGCCCTCGGTCTCCCGCGAGATGCGGTCGGCCAGCCCCCGTCTCGGTCTGGCGGGCTCGTCGAACTCGTAGTCGCGCGGTATGCTATCGTCGCCCTTCAGCCTCCCATACCCATCGTCCCCTCCGCTGCGGGTGATGCGGCTCGCCAGCGATCGCGGCCGCGGCTCGTCGTCGTCGTCGTCGCGCGTGATCCTGCTGGCGAGCGAGTTGACGGGGCGGCCGTCCTTGGTCATGCGGCTGAGCAGGGAGCCGCCGGAGCCGGCGTCGGAGCGGCGGTGGTTGCCCATGGGCGACGTGTCGACGCTGTACATGTCCTTCTGCCAGCGACCGTCGGACTTGCCGCCGCCCTTCTGCTCGCCGTAGTTGGCGCGGTCGTGCGTCCAGCGCTCGGCGCTCGGCTCGCGGCGTCGGCGCGTGTTGCGGCTCCGCGAGCGGCTGCGGTACCGCGTGCGCACGTTGCTGCTGTCTTCGGCGAAACCATAGCGGCCGTCGCCCTCGTCGCCCGAGGCGGGGGAGGCACTGCGGCCGCGGAGGCGCCCGTGTCGAGACTCACTGCATCGTGTTAGCTCCGTCGAGTGATGAGTGGTGTTCAAGCTGTGCCGTACCCATCGCCACCGGGCCTGTACGAGTCCACGTCGGCGTTGAGCCGGCCCGAGTCGCGCGGTCTCCTGTCTCTGTCTCGCCCGTCGCGGCGGTCGCGGTCGCGGTCGCGGCCATTGCGGTCGTTGCGCGGGAAAACGTTGTTTCTCCGCCTCTCCACGCCTGAATCCTCAGACATGGACATGTCTCCACTGCGGCTGTCCCACGTTAGCTTGGAGCAGCACGTGTCACTTCAATGTGCCTACCTTCTCCTCCGCCGGCTCCTTGGGCCCGGCTCATCATCGCCGTAGTCGAGCAGGTCCCTCTTCGGTGGCTGCTTGCGCCGGGGCTCCCTCTGCTTGTTGTCGCGCACGTCAGGATTGCGTTGGTAGTAGTTGCTGCGGTTCGCAGCGCCCTTGGGCTTCTGGTCGCCCGCGTTCGATTGTCGTACCATCAGCGCGGCGTCTGGCTTCTTCGAGTAGGGCTTGGCCGGTCGAGATGTCTGCTCGGAAATCGAGTTCGCGTTGGTGTCGGGGTGTGTGAAGGCAACCAACGCAACTGCAGCGTCGTCGGCGCTGTAAAACTCGAGATTCACTGAATTGTCATTCACCCAACGCAGCTGTTTCACGCGCGGTTCCAGGCCGAGCGCCTCCATGGCGTAATACAGAGGATCATTGGGGTCGAAGCTGCTCACGCCCTGCAGGTTCAGATATTCGGGCCACGGGCGCTGTGGCTGGAGGTCCTCGTAGTAGGCCGCTGGCACCGATTCGCCTTGTGTGCTGGCTTCTCGCTGCGCCCACGTCAGAGTCTGGACACGGCAACTGCGACGCGCCATGCGCTAACTTATACTCACGTCCTGCTGCGGCGGCGGCGGCGCGCTTGTGGTGTTGAGGCTGGCACCGACATCAATGTCGATGTCGTAGCCGACGTCTCCCATTTCGACGTCCATTGTGAGCGGACAGTATGTTGTGTTGGCTGGATATAGAGGATTACGGTGCGGAGCGATGGCGATTGCGATTGCCTGGAGCTCTCGCGCCTGGTTGCCGTTGCCGTTGCCGATGGGATGGGCGCCCGACAACTCGACGTCGCAGCACAGCCGGCAGTAGCGCCCCATCCCCATCAGATCACGTAAGCCATCTCAACCCCCACGAGTCATTTCACCACCACTTCTACTTTGACTTGGAGTATTCACTTTCTTTGTGTCATTGGGAGGATTGCTACCTATCTCACTGCTCATGCATTCTCTTCCAGAGTAAACGTGCCCGTCTTGGTGATCAGGTACTCGTTCACAGCCACGTCCTTGCCAGACTCCTTGCCATATCCACTCTGCTTGATGCCACCAAACGGCGACTCGGCCGCCGACGAATTGCCTGTCCTTGTCAGCCGATGCACTGAATATCAGCATCCACACCTTGTTCAACTCACCAGTGTTCAACCCGATCATGCCAGCCTCGAGGCTCTCGAACAATCTCCACATCCGGTCTACGTTCTTGGTGAACAGGTAGGACGCCAGACCCATCGACGTGTCGTTCGCCTTCTGTACCGCTTCCTCCTCCGTCTCGAACTTGATGAACGTGCAGATTGGCGAGAAGACCTCTTCGTTCGCAATATCCATGTCAGGCGTGACTCCAGTAATGACGGTCGGCTCGAAGAAGTACCCCCCTTTCCCGTCGATCTTGTTGCCCCCCTTGTGAATCTTCGCGCCCTTCTTCTTCGCGTCCTCTACCAGCTCAAGCGCCTTCTGGGCACCGCGAGGTGTTGTCACCGGGCCCATGGTGGTCTTCTCATCAGAACCGTGACCGACAACGATCTTGTCCGTCTCGGCGTTCCACCTCTCCAGGAACGTGTCGAAGATGCCGGACTGCACATAGATCCGGTTGGCTGTTATGCAAGCCTGGCCCGCGTGGCGGTACTTCAGCGCGAATATCTGGGACATGGCTTGTTCGATGTTGGCATCGTCGAAGATTAGCACAGGACAGTTCCCACCGAGCTCCAGAGTCACCTTCTTCAGGTTGTCTGCGCAGATCTTGGCAACCAACTTGCCGACTCTCGTCGACCCAGTGAAAGTGACCTTTGCAATATGGGGGTGGCGGCAGAGTGCCTCGCTAAGTTCAGGCGTCTTATCGAGATCTGTAGTCAGCACGTTGAGCGCGCCTGGGGGGAAACCAGCCTTCAATGCGAGGTGAGCCAGCGCCAGGACCGTGATGGGTGTCTCGGGACTAGGCTTGACAATCATGGTGCATCCAGCTGCAAGAGCCGCTCCAGCCTTTCGCAGAATCATAGCAATGGGGAAATTCCATGGCACGAGGGCTGCGGCAACACCTGCGGGCTGCTTGATGGTGAAGATGCGGCGGTTGGAGAGCGCGGGTATGAAGTTCGTACCCTGGATGCGCTCTGCCTCTCCAGCAAACCACCACGTGAAGCCCGTCGAGTATTCGATCTCGCCATAAGCCTCGGAGCGCGGCTTGCCCGTCTCGTAGACGAGGATCGTAGCGATATCCTCCTTGTTCTCGCGGATCAACTGATCCCACTTGTACAGCCACTGTGCTCTCTGCCGCGGGCTGACCTTCTTGTACTCGAGGAATGCTTCGTGCGAGTTCTTGACCGCGGCGTCGACGTCGGATGCATCGCTGACGGGACACTCAATCCATGCCTTTCCGGTACCGGGGTCTGGGACGTGGTGAGCTACGAAACACCACAACTTGAACAGGCAGCCTACCGACGACCTCGAACGTCTTCCCAGACTTTGCATCCTTCCACTCGCCGCCAACACACGACTTGTTGTGAAGTAGGTCCGAATTTTGGAGCTGACGAGATGAGCAATCGCCAACTAATGTATGTACGCGATCTCAATCTTACCTTGAAAGGAAGCTCGTACTTCTGTGCTGAGCCCATTTTCACAATACGAAAAGCTTCACAACACTATAGATTAACAGGAGTCTTCACAGAACCCGGAGAAAGAAATCCGCCCCGAAACCCACCCTTTTGAAGACAAGGTCCCTGAGATATCCGCACTGCAAATCCCCCACTTACGATCCATATAGCCGAAATCTAGCGGCTGACCAATCATCTCACGTCTAGCCCGACCACCACCGCGGTGCGACAGACGTCAGAACCGCACCCTGGGGTTACCCCTCATCGATCTTTCCCCCTTCGCAACGCGGGCTTTTACGGCTGTGGATTACAGGGTGCTTTGATTGGCAAAGCGCGGGTTCGCCATGCATGTCTCACGGAGTGGGTGTGAGCGGGGAGAAGGCCGTGTGGAGAGGGAGGCTCGGTTATGTGCTTGAGCGCGTGGTTGCAATCATACATACGAGTGGTGATAGCTACATCTGTTTACCTGACTATCTACCTACGCTGCAAACAAACTGCACACCCTGCCTGAAGTCGTCCCTTCGCACGATACACGAAACCTACCCTCAATCTCATCTCCTCGACCTCAACTCAATAATATCTTCTTCCCTCCACCACACTTCACCATGGGCAGACTCGACGGCAAAGTCGCCATCGTAACCGGTCTGTTCCTGCCCCACACCCACAGACACACCCACTGACCCCCTCCCAGGCGCCGGCTCAGGCTTCGGCGCAGGCATCGCGCTCCGCTACGCGCTCGAAGGCGCCAAAGTGCTCGTCTGCGACATCAACGCCACCACTGCGCAAACCACCGCCTCACACAACACCGCGGCCCTCTCCGCCTTCGCGATGGACGTAACCAAGCGGGCTGACTGGGACGCCGCGATGCAAGAGTGCCTGGCGCGCTTCGGCCGCTGCGACATCCTCGTCAACAACGCCGGGTGGAGCTACACCAACAAGGCCACCGCCGAGGTGACCGAGGACGAGTTCGAGCGCGTCTTCGATGTCAACGTCAAGGGCGTGTATCTCGGGTGTCAGGCGTGGGTGGGCCAGGCGGTGCAGAGGGGGGAAGGGGGGGTGATCGTCAATATAGCGAGTGTCGGGGCGA